CAAATGTCGGCATAGATGCATGAATAAGTCCCCGCTGCTTAAAAGAACCACTCACTCTCTGTGATCCCCTACCTCCAGATTAGGCACCATGAAATTGACCTGATATACGGGCCTTTTAGGGTCCCCAAACTCCTTTCTTTCCATAAATTCTGCCTCTTTGGCGGTACTCACAATGGACTGGAAAGAAGCCCCCTGCCTAGATGCCCGAAACACAGCTGACCTAATAGAGAAAGTCAATCTCCTCACAAATCTGCGAATACTCTTTGTGTCATTTTGAATTATGGCCAACGCATGCCTAGACAATTGGCAAAAATGTGCCTCATACTCTGTAACCGATAACCATCTTGTCTCAGACTCTCAAACCTCAAGCGACTCTCCTCTCGCATGCTCCAAGGGATAAAACGATCCTGGAATGCACTAGTAAACTGCCCCCAAGTCACTGGAGGAGATCAAACTGGAAAAACCCCTAAATAAGTTCTCCACCAGTCTCTCGCTAGTCCACGAAGCTGGAGTGTAGCATTTCGAACCCCATGTGACTCAGCTAATCCAACCAGCTCTAGTAAGTCTCAGTAGGTAGTTAGAAACTTATGAGTTTCCTCGCTCTTCCCACCCTGAAACTGAGGTGGGTCCATCCTGCGAAATCTCTCATACCTACGTTGCTCATCCTTTATCACAAAAACCACCTGTGCAACTTGACCCCCAACTACTAGTGCAACATCATTCTAAACCGTGGGATTTACTGGTAGTTGCCCCACCGCATCTTGAACAACTGGAGCTTGTTGTTGCTCTTAAGTCTGAGCCTTCTCTCTAGTACGAGAGTCATGTGGTGTGGCGGTCGCACCACCACCTTGAGAAAACACTTAACACCCTCAATAGTGTATCCTGAAGCAAAGGTGTGACTACAGGCTCTCAAGGAACCTGGTCCTCTCTGCCATCAATCTGAGGTTCTTGAGAGACCTCTCTAGCACGACCTCTCTCTGGTGCTGCTTCACAGCCACGACCTCTTGCTACTGTTGTACCACAAGAACGACCTTTAGCTCGAGCTCTACCCCTACCTCTAGCTGGGGCCTCAACAACTGCCTCGGGAAGTGCCTCCCCTCTACCACTAGTAAAAAGTTCTAGTCCTGGTCATCTATCAAAAGAGTATACAACAACTCATTCTAAAGAAGGTAACTACGCACGATGAGAAAGAATTAACCAAAGGAAGTTTCCTAGTAATCTTTATAGCCTCTCAGAGATGAGTACAGACGTCACCGTACTAATTCTTGAGACTCTATGTAGACTCGTCTGGTATACACATGAGACCTTTGAACTTGGGGCTCTGATACCATTTTATCACGACCCAAAAATGGGCGTGATGGCATTCGTCTTATCCCACCAAGATAAGTCAGCCTAACCCAATAATTTTGATAAAATGCAGAAACAAAACCAAAGCCTGATAACGATTATTAATACGGAAACAATTAAACTTAATTCAATTCCCAAAACTTGGTATTCACATTCACAAGCCTCTAATGTAAATACTAGAATTGAAATGAAAATACAAATCTAACATATTATTGTCTTTCAAGAAAAAACAAAGTCATAAACAGGAGTTGGGAAGTTTGATGATATGACAAGCAGCTACCTCACAATCCTCCACAAGATACTTCGGAAATGAAGAGAATGAAAGTTAGCACAACAATCTAGGCTCGTAACCTACAAAAATTTATAGAAGCAAGGGGTGAGTACCAAGCCACGCGGTACCCAACAACCAAACCTCTAAACACAAGTTAAGGGAACAAAATACGGGTACTCCTTACACCCTATCTGAACCTCCATACTACAAACAACTCAAGGTTTACCAAAGACACAACTCAATAACCACACTTTATTAGTTTTCATATTCTATATAACAACTCAATATTCAACAGTCAGAATTTTCATAGAGAAACACTAACAAGATCAGCAAAACACGTATTCAATTTCATCAATAATAAAAATGTGTAATGCCTTGAGATGCAATATCAAGTATGGTGATGCATGTCTTCCCTAACAATACACACCCACTGTCTCTCAGTCTAAGACCAATGGGAGACATATCTGTCCATGCATCTATCGCGGCGCACGTCACGATCCTCGATAATAGAAACTGTCGCAGCGCGTGATACGTCTCTCGAAATATAATATCCATCGCGGCATGCGATATGATCCTCAAAATGGTACATTCTCTCACCACAACCATGTATTAGATACAGTGCAAATGACATGCTCAAATGAAAATGAGGAGATAACCATTTTGATAACAAAGCACAATTTACAACAAGGAATACAACACCAACAAATAAGAAACAAGTCTCAAAGTCATTCTTAACACCACACAAGGAATTACACTAACTTCATAAGCTTAACAAGGGTTTAGAAATCCACTTGACTCAAATGAACGAACAATCACTCACGTACTTGAGTTTTCCCTTTTCGTTGAGCTTCCAAACCAATGCAATTTATTCAAGTATATAGTCTGAATTAGATTCCGACACTAACAACACTTATGTTATATAGGTTTAGCTTAGACTGAAAAGATTATCCAAATTTATAATTAAGTAAACATATAAATTCTCATATTTCTAAATTTCAAGTCTAGGGTTAAATTTCAATCTCTCGAATATGATATATCTACTAATATTCATATAATGTAATGCCATTAATAGTTAAATACATATTTTTATAGGTCAAAACTTGAATTATAATGTGACCATAATAAGAAAATAAATTAATTCTGAACCATATGGAAAATAATAATTTAAGGAACCTATAAATTCACATATTACATCGTGATTCCCTTGTACAACTATATTATATTTTAATATAATATTATAATGGCTTACACATTAATTGACGACCATTTGCTAATGAATGACTAGAAATTCTCCCCACCCCTCCCTACCCCACAAATTGAAAATTAACAATTTCTAATTTTAACCATAAATATATATATATATATATATATATATATATATATATATATATATATATATATATATATATATATATATATATATATATATATAGGATACTACACAATTCTATCCATATTAAAATCATGGGGGGGGGAGGTGAGTTGTACCTGCATGAAGAAGAAATTGAACGCCACCTGATCGTTATCGCAACACTATTCTCTTTCTTGTTATAAATTAACAAAATAATCTTGTTTTACATATTTTAATATGGGTCAAATAATATAAGATCTTAAATAAATTATCACTTTAGTCCATTAACTATTGGTTAAGTTAATTATTTACAATTATTCAATAATTAATTGACCCTTACTAAACTAATATTTAACTATAAATACTCCTCAATTAGTTAACTCAAGTTAATCGGATATTTAAAATTTTGAAAAATGACCTTCTGGGTCATCACAACTATATACCCAACAATTAGTGTCGTACACCTTGTTTTTCAGTATGTGTGATCTTGTTTGTAACAATTTCAAGTCCCTTGTAAACTTGCATTTTATCCGAGTTGATAATTTCTCCTTGAAAATGGGTGGCAAGGTCAACAAAGAGACGGGATTTTCCCGTTCCTATGGCCCCCATTATGAAGATAACTTTCTTCTTGAACTCTCCATTATTGATGAATGTATTCATTTTATCTACAAACAAAAAAAAATGGTTTATAATAGTGAATTCATAAAGTCAGACATAAAAAAATCTTGTAAAATATAAAGCTAGTAAGTAGAAGTCTTGCTTGACTTGGAATAAACTATCTAAAAATAAAAAATTTTCTTGATGGTGGATGTGAAAAAAAAATTACATTCAGCTTTTATAGTAAAATCTTTTTGTGGTGTTATTAATTGACATACCAATTTCATAATTACTGATATATTTTAGGATAAGAATAACTTTTAAAAGTTGATAGATATGTCAACTTGAATTTTGGTAATTATTATTAAATATATTTTAGGATAAAGTTATGAGTATACATTGGTAGGAGACCACATATAGCTGGGCTTTTATAGTAAAAATATTATTTTTTATAGACTTATTAATTAGTAAACCAAATTAAATATATATAAATTCATATCTATTAGAACAAGAATAGTTCATGAAAAAATTAAGAGATATGTCACCTTAAATTTTGGCGACTAAGCTTAAATTATTTTAGGATGACGTTTCTAGATGTATATCGTTATGAGATCACAAGGAGTTACATAAGGATTGTACAAAGAACTCAATAATTTTGTTAACAAAATATATTCAAGTGATAATGTGTAAAATCTTGCACTACTCAACAACACATCATAAGTGTTAAATCTAATTCCATAAGAGGGAAGTGAACAATTATCAATAACTATTTCAATTACGAGTATTTATATTTACTTGTGCACCGTATAATAATAGATAAGGACTTTATTGAATCAAGCTTCAATCACCGTGATAGAATTAGGTAGAATATAATCATTACCGATAGATTAGAAATTTACTATTTTATCTTCTTTGTCGATGTAACATTTTTAAGTATTGAGTTAAAAATTCTATTATTCAAAAACCTTTTAAGGTGGAATCTTGTCAAGTTGGTTACAAGTTAACATACGAGTATTACGCTTGATACTTGAAATTGAAGCTTCAAGAATCATCTTCTTTGATTCATCCTCTCCGTCTATGTTTGTTTCTTCCCTTAAATATCTGTCCATTTCAGGGACCCCGATGGACCGTTGGATTCCTTTGGTGTAATCTGCATCTGGAATTAAAATTTGTCGCACCTCATCCACTAGCCCTGCATGCAACACAAATTTAAAGAAGAGTTTTATTTAGTAGAACATATATTTGATAACCAAAATTATTATTAAGAAAATTATAGAAGAAAAGTTTTTAGCTAGCTACATGATAGTATATCTTGATTGATACACAAAATAATTACAAAGATTACCTGCTTTGATCATTTGATCAACCCTCATGTCGACTCTACGGTTCAAGACTGATTGCTCAACATCAATCCAAATAAAGCATCTATCATGCTTATATTTTGAACATGAACACAGGATCTTCCACAAGTTTTTCGATATACGAATTTGACCCTCCAACAATAATTGGAACACGTTGAGTCTTCAGTATTTTTTCTATATAGATGATAGCTTGCAAACAAAAATCTTCAGCTGTGAAGTCTGAATCTGGTTCAATTTCACCTAAGAAAATGTGAACAAATAAACTTTCTCTGAATCGAAAAAAATGAATTTTTAATAGTAAAGTATACTTTTCACTAGAATCTATAATAACTACTATAAAATTATCTAGGTAGTCAGTTGATATAAGCAATCTTGAGAATAAACATATATACCTAACAAATAGTGTTGTACACCTTGTTTTTCAGTATGTGTGATCTTGTTTGTAACAATTTCAAGTCCCTTGTAAACTTGCATTTTATCCGAGTTGATAATTTATCCTCGAAAATGGGTGGCAAGGTCAACAGAGAGACAGGATTTTCCCGCTCCTGTGGCCCCCATTATGAAGATAACTTTCTTCTTGAACTCTTCATTATTGATGAATGTATACATTTTATCTACAAACAAAAAAAATGGTTTATAATAGTGAATTCATACAGTCAGACATAAAAAAATCTTGTAAAATATAAAGCTAGTAAGTAGAAACCTTGCTTGACTTGGAATAAACTATCTAAAAATATAAAATTTTCCTGATGGTGGATGTGAAAAAAAAATTACATTCAGCTTTTATAGTAAAATCTTTTTGTGGAGTTATTAATTGACATACCAATTTCATAATTACTGATATATTTTAGGATAAGAATAACTTTTAAAAGTTGATAGATATGTCAACTTGAATTTTTGTAATTATTATTAAATATATTTTAGGATAAAGTTATGAGTATACGTTGTTAGGAGACCACATAGAGCTGAGCTTTTGTAGTAAAAATGTTATTTTTTATAGACTTATTAATTAGTAAACCAAATTAGATATATATAAATTCATATATATTAGAATAAGAATAGTTCATTAAAAAATTAAGAGATATGTCACCTTAAATTTTGGCGATTAAGCCTAAATTATTTTAGGATGACGTTTCTAGATGTATATCGTTATGAGATCACAAGGAGTTACATAAGGATTGTACAAAGAACTCAATAATTTTGTTAACAAAATATATTCAAGTGATAATGTGTAAAATCTTGCACTCCTCAACAACACATCATAAGTGTTAAGTCTAATTCCATAAGAGGGAAGTGAACAATTATCGATAACTATTTCAATTACGAGTATTTATATTTACTTATGCACCATATAATAATAGATAAGGACTTTATTGAATCAAGCTTCAATCACCGTGATAGAATTAGGTAGAATATAATCATTACCGATAGATTAGAAATTTACTATTTTATCTTCTTTGTCGATGTAACATTTTTAAGTATTGAGTTAAAAATTCTATTATTCAAAAACCTTTTAAAGTGGAATCTTCCCGAACATTTATGTTGATTTATTATTTTATCTCTCTATTAGCTTGACAGCATGAGTAATCTCATGTAATTGTGTACGTATGTATTTTTATTAATTAATATTAAATATAAAAGACTTGGACTTGGACTTGGTCTTGGGCTTGGATCCAAACATAAAATAAATATTTCATCTATAGATAAGAATTTTTTTTACAGACAAGAGTAACATATATAGACAAAAGGGTCATATCAAACATATATAATTGTAATGCGATACAAACTGTACAAAATAGGTCAAAAATAAAAGAGATCAAAAAAGAAGATGGCGATAAAGCTAGTTTATGTACTCTCAATAATAATATTGTGATGATCGTTTTTGAGAAATCTCTTCACAATATCTAGGCATGGTTGCAAAACAATATTCGTCCATGCTTCGTCAAGATCTTCTTCTCTATCTTCTTTGAAAACGTCTGTAGCAATAATATGATGCACTGACCACATTTTTTTGCTTATTAATCGTTGAATCTTGTCAAGTTGGTTACAAATTAACATACGAGTATTACGCTTGATACTTGAAATTGAAGCTTGAAAAATCATCTTCTTTGATTCATCCTCTCCGTCTATGTTTGTTTCTTCCCTTAAATATCTGTCCATTTCAGGGACCCCGATGGACCGTTGGATTCCTTTGGTGTAATCTGCATCTGGAATTAAAATCTGTCGCACCTCATCCACTAGCCCTGCATGCAACACAAATTTAAAGAAGAGTTTTATTTACAAGAACATATATTTGATAACCAAAAGTATTATTAAGAAAATTATTGAAGAAAAGTTTTTAGCTAGCTGCATGATAGTATATCTTGATTGATACACAAAATAATTTCAAAAATTACCTGCTTTGATCATTTGATCAACCCTCATGTGAACTTTACAGTTCAAGACTGATTGCTCAACATCAATCCAAATAAAGCAGCTATCATACTTATATTTTGAACATGAACACAGGATCTTCCACAAGTTTTTCGATATACGAATTTGACCCTCCAACAATAATTGAAACACGTTGAGTCTTCAGTATTTTTTCTATATAGATGATAGCTTACAAACAAAAATCTTCAGCTGTGAAGTCTGAATCTGGTTCAATTTCACCTATGAAAATGTGATCAAATAAATTTTCTCAGAATCGAAAAAAATGAATTTTTAATAGTAAAGTATACTTTTCACTAGAATCTATAATAACTACTATAAAATTATCTAGGTAGTCATTTGATATAAGCAATCTTGAGAATAAACATATATACCTAACAAATAGTGTCGTACACCTTGTTTTTCAGTATGTGTGATCTTGTTTGTAACAATTTCAAGTCCCTTGTAAACTTGCATTTTATCCAAGTTGATAATTTCTCCTCGAAAATGGGTGGCAAGGTCAACAGAGAAACATGATTTTCCCGCTCCTGTGGCCCCCATTATGAAGATAACTTTCTTCTTGAACTCTTCATTATTGATGAATGTATTCATTTTATCTACAAACAAAAAAAATGGTTTATAATAGTGAATTCATACAGTCAGACATAAAAAAATCTTGTAAAATATAAAGCTAGTAAGTAGAACCTTGCTTGACTTGGAATAAACTATCTAAAAATATAAAATTTTCTTGATGGTGGATGTGAAAAAAAAATTACATTCAGCTTTTATAGTAAAATCTTTTTGTGGAGTTATTAATTGACATACCAATTTCATAATTACTGATATATTTTAGGATAAGAATAACTTTTAAAAGTTGATAGATATGTCAACTTGAATTTTTGTAATTATTATTAAATATATTTTTGGATAAAGTTATGAGTATACGTTGCTAGGAGACCACATAGAGCTGAGCTTTTATAGTAAAAATGTTATTTTTTATAGACTTATTAATTAGTAGACCAAATTAGATATATATAAATTCATATATATTAGAATAAGAATAGTTCATTAAAAAATTAAGAGATATGTCACCTTAAATTTTGGCGATTAAGCTTAAATTATTTTAGGATGACGTTTCTAGATGTATATCGTTATGAGATCACAAGGAGTTACATAAGGATTGTACAAAGAACTCAATAATTTTGTTAACAAAATATGTTCAAGTGATAATGTGTCAAATCTTGCACTACTTAACAACACATCATAAGTGTTAAGTCTAATTCCATAAGAGGGAAGTGAACAATTATCGATAACTATTTCAATTACGAGTATTTATTAACTTGTGCACCATATAATAATAGATAAGGACTTTATTGAATCAAGCTTCAATCACCGTGATAGAATTAGGTAGAATATAATCATTACCGATAGATTAGAAATTTACTATTTTATCTTCATTGTCGATGTAACACTTTTAAGTATTGAGTTAAAAATTCTATTATTCAAAAACCTTTTAAAGTGGAATCTTCCCGAACATTTATGGTGATTTATTATTTTATCACTCTATTAGCTTGACATTATGAGTGATCTCATGTAATTGTGTACGTATGTATTTTTATTAACTTATATTAAATATAAAAGACTTGGACTTGGACTTGGGCTTGGGCTTGGATCAAAACATAAAATAAATATTTCATCTATACATAAGAATTTTTTTTACAGACAAGAGTAACATATATAGAAAAAAGGGTCATATCAAACATATATAATTGTAATGCGATACAAACTGTACAAAATAGGTCAAAAATAAAAGAGATCAAAACAGAAGATGGCGATAAAGCTAGTTTATGTACACTCAATAATAATATTGTGATGAGCGTTTTTTAGAAATCTCTTCACTATATCTAGGCATGGTTAACAATATTCGTCCATGCTTCGTCAAGATCTTCTTTTCTATCTTCTTTGAAAACGTCCGTAGCAATAATATGATGCACTGACCACATTTTCTCGCTTATGAATCGTTGAATCTTGTCAAGTTGGTTACAAATTAACATACGAGTATTACGCTTGATATTTGAAATTGAAGCTTGAAGAATCATCTTCTTTGATTCATCATCTCAGTCTATGTTTGTTTCTTCCCTTAAATATCTGTCCATTTCAGGGACCCCAATGGACCGTCGGATTCCTTTGGTGTAATCTGCATCCGGAATGAAAATCTATCGCACCTCATCCACTAGCCCTGCATGCAACACAAATTTAAAGAAGAGTTTTATTTAGTAGAACATATATTTGAAAACTAAAAGTATTATTAAGAAAATTATATAAGAAAAGTTTTTAGCTAGCTGCATGATAGTATATCTTGATTGATACACAAAATAATTACAAAAATTACATGCTTTGACCATTTTATCAACCCTTATGTCAATTCTACAGTTCAAGACTGATTGCTCAACATCAATCCAAATAAAGCAGCTATCATACTTATATTTGAACATGAACACAGGATCTTCCACAAGTTTTTCGATATACGAATTTGACCCTCCAACAATAATTGGAACACGTTGAGTCTTCAGTAATTTTTCTATATAGATGATAGCTTGCAAACAAAAGTCTTCAGCTGTGAAGTCTGAATCTTGTTTAATTTCACCTAAGAAAATGTGATCAAATTAACTTTCTCAGAGTCGAAAAAAATGAATTTTTAATAGTAAAGTATATTTTTCACGAGAATCTATAATTACTACTATAAAATTATCTAGGTAGTCATTTGATAAAAGCAATCTTGAAAATAAACATATATAGCTAACAAATAGTGTCGTACACCTTGTTTTTCAGTATGTGTGATCTTGTTTGTAACAATTTCAAGTCCCTTGTAAACTTGCATTTTATCCGAGTTAATAATTTCTCCTCGAAAATGGGTGGCAAGGTCAACAGAGAGACGGGATTTTCCTGTTCCTGTGGCCCCCATTATAAAGATAACTTTATTCTTGAACTCTTCATTATTAATGAATGTATTCATTTTATCTACAAACAAAAAAATGGTTTATAATAGTGAATTCATAAAGTCAGACATAAAAAAATCTTGTAAATTTAAAGCAAGTAAGTAGAAACCTTGCTTGACTTGGAATAAACTATCTAAAAATATAAAATTTTCTTGATGGTGGATGTGAAAAAAAAAATTACATTCAGCTTTTATAGTAAAATCTTTTTGTAGAATTATTAATTGACATACCAATTTTATAATTACTGATATATTTTAGGATAAGAATGACTTTTAAAAGTTGATAGATATGTCAACTTGAATTTTGGTAATTATTATTAAATATATTTTAGGATAAAGTTATGAGTATACGTTGCTGGGAGTTCACGTAGAGCTGGGCTTTTATAGTAAAAATATTATTTTTTATAGACTTATTAATTAGTAAACCAAATTAAATATATATATAAATTCATATCTATTAGAATAAGAATAGTTCATTAAAAAATTAAGAGATATGTCACCTTAAATTTTGGCGATTAAGCTTAAATTATTTTAGGATGACGTTTCTAGATGTATATCGTTATGAGATCACAAGGAGTTATATAAGGATTGTACAAAGAACTCAATAATTCTTTTAACAAAATATATTCAACTGATAATGTGTCTAATTATACACTATTCAACAACATATCACAAGTGTTAAGTCTAATTACGTAAGCGGAAAGTGAACAATTATCGATAACTATTTCAATTACGAGTATTTATATTAACTTGTGCACCATATAATAATAGATAAGGACTTTATTGAATCAAGCTTCAATCACCGTGATTTATTATTTTATCACTCTACTATCTTGACATTATGAGTGATCTCATGTAATTGTGTACGTTTGTATTTGTATTAATATATCTTAAATATAGAAGACTTGGACCTGGACTTAGGGCTTGGGCTTTGATCGAAACATAAAATAAATATTTCATCTAAAGATAAGAATCTTTTTACAGACAAGAGTAACATATATAGAAATAAGGGTCATATCATAAATATTTATTTGTAATGTGATACAAACTGCACAAAATAGGTCAAAAATAAAGCGACCAAAACTTAAGATGGCGATAATGACAGTTTATGTACACTCAATAATAAGATTGTGATGATCATTTTTGAGAAATATCTTCACAATATCTAGGCATGGTTGCAAAACAGTATACATCCATGCTTCGTCCAAATCTTCTTCTCTCTCTTCTTTGAAAACGATCCGTACCAGTAATATGATGCACTGACCATATTTTCTCTCTAATTAATCGTTGAATCTTGTCAAGTTTGTTACAAATTAACATACGAGTATTACACTTGATACTTGAAGGTGCAGCTTGAAGAATCATCTTCTTTGATTCTTCATCTCCGTCTATATTTATTTCTTCCCTTAAATATTTATCTATTTCAGGAACACCGATGGACCGTCAGATTCCTGTATTGTAATCTACATTTGGAATTAAAATTTCTCGCACCTCATCCACTAGCCCTTCATGCAACACAAATTTAAAGAAGTGTTTTATTTAGTAGAAAATATATTTGATAACCAAAACTATTATTAAGAAAATTATACAAGAAAAGTTTTTTGCTAGCTGCATGATAGTATATCTTGATTGATACAACAAATAATTACAAAAATTACCTGCTTTGACCATTTGATCAAACCTCATGTCAACTCTACGGTTCAATACTGATTTCTCAACATCAATCCAAATAAAGCAGCTATCATACTGATATTTGAACATGAACACAGGATCTTCCACAAGTTTTTCGATATATGAATTTTACCCTCCTACAATAATTGGAACACGTTGAGTCTTCAGTATTTTTTCTATATAGATGATAGCTTGCAAACAAAAATCTTCAGCTATGAAGTCTGAATCTGGTTCAATTTCACCTAAGAAAATGTGATCAAATTAAATTTCTCAGAATAAAAAAAAATGAAGTTTTAATAGTAAAGTATATTTTTCACTAGAATCTATAATTACTACTATAAAATTATCTACGTAATAATTTGATATAAGTATTCTTGAGAATAAACATATTGTCACGACCCAAAAATGGGCGTGTTGGAACTCTTCGTATCCCACCAAGACAAGTCAGCCTAACCCAATAATTTCGATAAAATGCAGAAACAAAACAAAAGCCTGATAACAATTACAAATACAGAAACAATTAAACTTAATTCAATTCCTAAAACCTGGTTGTCACGTGCACAAGCCTCTAATGTAAATACTATAATTGAAATGAAAATACGAGTCTAACATGAAGTTATCGTTCAAGTAAAAACAGAGTCATAAACTGGAGTAGGAAAGTTCGCTGAGATGACAAGAAACTGCCTCCCAACCCTCCACAAGATGCCTCGTAAATGAAGAGAATGAAAGGTATCACGAAAATTCGGGCTCGTAACCTACAAAAATTTGTAGAAGCAAGAGGTGAGTACCAAGCCACGCGACACCCAACAAGAAAACCTCTAAACACAAGTTAAGGGAACAAAATACGGGTACTCCTTACACCTTATCTGAACCTCCACACTACACACAACTCACAGTTTACCAAACACACAACTCAATAACCACACTCTATTAGTTTACATATTCTCAATAACAACTCAATATTCAACAATCACAATTTTCAGAGAGAAACACTAACAAGATCAGCAAAACACGTATTCAAGTTCATCAATAATAAAAATGTGAAATCCAATGAGATGCAATGTCAAATATGGTGATGCTTGTCTTCCTTAACGATACACACCCACTTTCTCTCAATCTGGGACTCATGGGGGATATATCTTTCCACGCATCTATCGCGGCGCACGACACGACCCTCGATAATAGTAACCATTGCGGCGCACGATACGTCCCTCGAAATATAATATCCATCGCGGCGTGCGATACAACCCTCGAAATGGTACATTCTCTCGCCACAACCATGTCTTAGAGACAGTGTAAATGACATGCTCAAATGAAAATGAGGAGATAACCATTTTGATAAAAAAGCACAATTTAACACAAGGAATACAACACCAACAAATAGGAAACAAGTCTGGAAGTCATTCTCAACACCACACAAGGAAATACATGAATTTCATACACTTAACAAGAGTTTAGAAATCCACTTGCCTCAAATGAACGAACAATCACTCCTTGACTTCAGCTTTCCCCTTTCGTTAAGCTTCCAAATCAATGTAATCTTTTCATGTTTATGGTCATAATTAGATTCCGACACTAACAACACTTATGTAATATCGGTGTACCTTAGACCGTAAAGCTTATCCAAATTTATAATTAAGTTAATATATAAATTCTCATATTTCTAAATTTCAAGTCTAGGGTTAAACTTCAAACTGTCCAATATTATAAATCTAATAATATTCTTATAATGTAATGCCCTTAATAGTTAAATACATGTTTTTATAAGTCAAAACTTGAATTATAATGTGACCATAATAAGAAAATAAGTTAATTACGAACTTTCTGAAAAAAGATAATTTAAGGAATGTACGGATTCACATACTACATCGTAATTCCCTTGCACAACTATACTATATTTTAAAATAATATTATAATGGCTTACACATTAATTGACGACCATTTGCTAATGAATGACTGGACGTTCTTCCCCCTACCCCACAAATTGAAAATGCCCGACTTTTCTTAACAATTTTCAAGTTTAACCATTTAAATCCATACTCTTTTGTTTCTTCCTATTCCCCGCATCTAATAATATATATAGGATACTATACAATTCTATCTATATTAAAATCACTGGTGGGGGTGAGTTGTACCTGGAGGAAGAAGAAATTGAACGCCCCATGATCGTTATCGCAACCCTATTCCTTTTCTTGTTATAAATTAATAAAATTATCATAATAATCTTGTTTTACTTATTTTAAATATGGGTCAAATAACATAGGGTCTTAAATAAATTAACACTTTACTCCATTAACTATTGGTTAATTTTATTATTTACTATTATTCATTAATTAATTAACCCTTACTAAATGAATATTTATCTATAAATACTCCTCAATTAATGAACTCAACTTAATCAGATATTTAAAATTTTCAAAAATGACCTTCTGGGTCATCACATTATCCACCACTAGAAATCATGTTCGTCCTCGAGCATATGATGAAAGAAAATACGTGGAGCTTCAAAAATGTGAGGATATTTGGCACTCATGTCAGACTTTGTCTCCCAAGTTGCCTCTTCCACTGATCGGTGCTTCCATTGCACCTTCACTGAAGCAATCTCTTTGGTCCTAAGCTTTCCAACATGCCTATCCAAAATAGCTATAGGCTCCTCCTCAAATGTCAAGTCTGGACCCAACTCCAATGAGTCAAGTGAAACCACATGAGTTTCATCCGGAATATACTTCTGAAGCATAGAGACATGGAAAACAGGATGAACTGCCGACAAAATAGGTGGAAAGGCCAACTTATAGGCCACCTCTACCACTCGACTCAAAAACTAAAAAGGTCCAATGAACCTAGGGCTAAGCTTGACCTTCTTTCCAAACCTTATCACAACCTTCATAGGTGATACTCGCAGCCAAAAATCATCACCCTCCATAAAAATTAAGACTCTAACTCTCCGGTCTTCATAACTCTTCTCTCGACTCTGGGTTGTCAACAGTCTATAGTGAATCATACGGACATGCTCCATAACATCTCTAAGCAAGTCTGCATCCAAAGAGTCCATCTCCGCCGAATCAAACCAACGAATCGGAGATCTACACCGTCTACCATGTAATGCCTCAAATGAGGCCATTTGGATACTAGAGTGATAACTGTTATTTATAGGCAAACTCCGCTAAGGGTAAATGTTGATCCCATCTAGCACCAAAATCGATTGCACATTCTCAAAGCATATCTTCCAATACTTGAATGGTCCGCTAAGATTGACCATCTGTCTGAGGGTTTATTGTCGTACTCATATCTAACTG